AGGGGGAGAAAATAAACAACTGGAAAAAGAGATAGATTGGAACATATTATCTCTATATCATTTGGATCCTCGTACAAATCAATGTGAACAAGAAGTTCAAAAGATCATTTATATGCAAAATATTGCAAATCAATTGCCAGATACATTTACTAACTTTCCACGTGTTACTAAATCGCATATTCCAGCTGTAAATGCTCCAATTCGAGTTGATGTCCCAGCTGGACAGTATGATAATGCAAATGAGTCTAGGCCACGCCTTAAACGTGGTAGACCAATCGGTTCCAAGGATAAGAATCCCCCTAAAAGGAAAGGAGCAAATGATCAAGTTGATCATAACATGGAGGCAATTGCTCAAGAGGAGCATAAAGATATAGTAATTGATAAGACCTCACAGGAGGTTCTAGTACCTGGAAGTGATGAAAATGAAGAGATCTCAATAAGTTATGTCTCTACGGGAAAAAGGTGAAACCGAAATATCGTTGTTGTTAACAACAATTTTGCTTATAATGTTGCAATTGAAATAATGCAACAAGATGAGGATCTTGAGCCAAAATCTGTCGATGAATGTAGACAGAGAAACGATTGGCCAAAATGGAAAAACGCAATTCAAGCGGAATTGGCTTCACTCGAAAAACGTGAAGTTTTTGGACCAATAGTCCGAACGCCTGAAGGTGTCAAGCCAGTGGGGTACAAATGGATTTTTGTGCGAAAATAAAATGAAAAAGGTAAAGTTGTAAGATATAAAGCACGACTTGTGGCACAAGGATTTTTGCAAAGGCCTGGCATTGATTATATGGAGACATATTCTCCTGTGGTAGATGCAATTACCTTCAGGTATTTAATAAATCTGGCAGTCCATGAAAAGCTTGATATGCGTTTGATGGATGTTGTCACAGCCTACTTATATGGCTCACTGGACAATGAAATTTTTATGAAAATCCCTGAAGGATTTGAAGTTCCTGAAGCACATAAAAGTTCAAGAGAAACTTGTTCAATAAAGCTTCAGAAATCTTTATACGGATTGAAGCAATCAGGGAGGATGTGGAACAATCGTCTTAGCGAGTATTTGAGAAAGGAAGGGTACAAAAGTGACCCTATTTGCCCTTGTTTCTTTATTAAGAGGTATGGATCTGAATTTGTCATCATAGTTGTGTATGTTGATGACTTGAATATTATTGGCACTTCTAAAGAGCTTCCAAAGGCTGTAGAGTATTTGAAGAAAGAATTTGAAATGAAAGATCTTGGTAAGACAAAATTTTGTCTTGGCCAACAAATTGAGCATGTACCAAATGAAATTTTTGTCCATCAATCAACATACGCTGAAAAGGCTTTAAAGCGATTTTACATGGATAGTGCACATCCTTTGAATGCCCCAATGGTTGTGAGATCGCTTGATAAATAAAGATCCATTTCGGCCTCAAGAAAATGATGAAGAGCTCGTTGGTGATGAAACTCCATATCTTAGTGCAATTGGGGAACTGATGTATCTTGCCAACAATACCCGACCAGATATTGCTTTTGAAGTAAGCTTATTAGCAAGATTCATCTCCTCCCCAACAAGAAGACATTGGAATGGTTTTAAGCATATATTTAGATATCTTCGGGGAACTATAGACATGGGATGTTTTATTATAATGAATTCAAGTCAGAAATGATTGGCTATGCCGATGCAGGTTATTTATCTGATCCTCATAAAGCCCGATCTCAAACAGGATATTTGTTTACATATGGAGGTACAGCTATATCATGGCGTTCAATGAAACAAACAATAGCTGCCACATCTTCAAATTATGCTGAGATAATAGCCATTCATGAAGCTAGTCGGGAATGTGTTTGGTTGAGATTAATGACTCAACATATTCAGGAAATGTGTGGCTTACTTATGAAAAAGGATAATCCAACTACACTATATGAAGACAATGTTGCTTGTATTGCTCAACTAAAAGGACGATACATCAAAGGAGACAGAACAAAACACATTTCACCAAAGTTCTTTTTCACGCATGATCTTCAACAAAATGGTGAAATTAATGTTCAACAAATTCGTTCATGTGAAAATTTGGCTGATCTGTTCACTAAGGCATTACCAACCTCAACATTTGAGAAGTTGAGACAGAAGATTGGAATGCGGCGTCTTCGAGAAATAAAGTGATGTTTTCATGAGGGGGAGTAAGATACACGCTGTACTCTTTTTCTCTTAGCCTAGGTTTTGTCCCACTGGGTTTTCCTGGTAAGGTTTTTAACGAGGCAGCAAATAAAGCGTATTACAGATATGTGTACTCTTTTTCCTTCACTAATATTTTTTTTTCCACAGGGTTTTTTCTTAGTAAGATTTTAACGAGGCATATTATCTATTTTTGGACATCCAAGGGGGAGTGTTATAAAATCTTTAGTAAATGTGGATGCCCACTACTCCCACTACTTTCACCCATGATGTAAACAACCTCCCACCGCTCATCACTATTATGATTGTAACTCCACACCTCCATAACCCCTCCCCATGATCTTCCCCCATGATCTCAATTGTTAGTGTCATGTTTAAGACAATCATTTTGTAACCTTCTATGTAATAGTATAAATAGAGGCATGAAATGTGATATGGGATGCACTCGAACATTTGATGAAATAGGAAAATTCTCTCTTCTTCTCTTATTCTGCTTATCTTCTTGTTTTACATTGTTACCTTGAGCTACATTTTTTAACATTTCATTGAAAATATATGCATATACATTTGTGTCGCCACCAAAGTTTTAATATAAACGGCTTAAATATGTACTACAATTATTCTGATATCGGTGCACTGTATTTTCAAGTTTAGGGTTCAGTACTAGCTATTTATTGCAGCTTAAATATTCGTTTGAACTCTCTGATGTTTGAGTTCCTTATTTGATTAATTCATGTGATAATATAGCTGCTAAGGTTGGTGGAAATTAAGAAGAAGATAATATGAATGCCCCTCACCCAACAAAACCTTCTGTCCCGTGCTAGTATTTCTTCTAATAAATATTTTCTTTTTATATCTCACCCTTCTTCTAGAGAGTGTGTTTGGTGTAACGAAATCGTTTTAAAGTTCATTAGTTGGTTGATGAGCGAGAGTATTTTCTAGCTTCCTCTATGTATATGAGATAGTTAGGATGAGGTTTTTCTGGCGTTAAATCCGTGGCCGAGGCACCCCAAAAATAAATATTGAAATTCTGTGCATTAAGCTTTTACTATACAACAACAATAACAATAACAATCCAGTGGGATCTCACTAGTGAGGTCTGGGAAGGGTAGTATGTACGCAGACCTTATCCCTTGGGAGGTAGAGAGATTGTTTTTGATACACCTTCGGCTCAGGAAAAAAGAAATAAAATAATAACAACAAGCAATAATAGCAAGATGCTGAGAAAACCGAAGTGAACGATAGGGAGAGAACAGTAGATAGCGAGAAAATAACTGAAAGTAAACAGTAGCAATAAGCAGCAGCAGGTTACCAAGAAACTAAAGTGAAAGATAGTAGGAAAGTAGTAGGGAATAAAAGCAATCTAAAAACAAGAAAACTAACAGACTAACCTTAATACCACCGGTATGGAAATGGAAAAATGCTCGACTACTACTAGCCTTTTATTCTAATTCTCGACCTTCACACCCTCCTATCAAGGATCATGTCTTCGGTAAGCTGCAGTCGTGCCATGTCCTGCCTGATCACCTCTCTCCAATACTTCTTTAGTCTCCATCTCCCTCTTTTCATACCCACCAAGACCAACCGCTTGCACCTCCTCACTGGGGCATCTATGCTTCTTCTCTTCACATGCCCAACCCATTTTAGCCTCGCATCCGCATCTTGTCTTCCACGGGAGCCACTCCCACCTTCACCCGAATATCATCATTCCTAATATTATCCAACCTGGTATGTCGCACATCCATCTCAACATTCTTATCTTTGCTACTCTCATCTACTGGATATGAGAATTCTTGACCGGCCAATACGCTGCCACATACAAGGTAGTCGGTCTAACCACCACCATGTATTACTTACCTTTAAGTCTTGATGGCACATTCTTATCACACAAGACGTCGGATACTAGCCTCCATTTCATCCACCCTGCTATGATACAATGCGTGACATCCTCATCAATCTCCCTATTCCCTTGGATAATAGACCTCACATACTTGAAACTTCCTCTCTTGGGGATGACTTGTGAGTCAAGCCTCATGTCCATGTCCGCTTCATCGACTCGTCGCTGAATTTGCACTCTCAGTATTCTGTCTTAGTCCTACTCAACTTAAAACCTTTAGACTCTAGAGTCTGTCTCAAAACATCTAGCCTCTTGTTGACACTGCCTCGCATCTCAGCAATCAGTACAATGTAATCCACAAATAACATACACCATGATACCCCCCCCCCCCCTGTATATGGTGAGTGAATGCGTCTATTGCTTAGACAAATAAGAACGGGCTAAGAGCTGAGCCTTGATGCAACCCCATCACAGCAGGAAAATATTCTGACTCTCCTCCCACAGTGCTCACCCGAGTTTTAGCTCCATCGTGCATGTCCTTAATCACCCTAATGTACGCTGCAGGAACATCTTTAGTCTCCATAGAACCTCCCTAGAGACTTTTTCGTATGCTTTCTCTAGGTCAGTGAACACCATATGCAAATCATTCTTCCTCTCCCTATATTGTTCCACCAATCTCCTAAAAAGATGAATGGCTTCTATAGTCGAACGTCCCAGCATGAATTCGAACTGGTTCTCGAAAATAGATATCGTCTTCCTAACCCTCACTTCAATCACTCTCTACCAAACCTTCATAGTATAGCTAAGCAGTTTGATACCCCTATAGTTATTATAATTTTGGACATCATGTTTGTTTTTGAACAACAAAATCATCGTACTCCACCTTACACATAGCCCCCTCGACCTCCTCAACTGTAATATGCCTACAATACCCAAAATTTCGATGACTCTCGGATAGCTCCAGATCACCTAGCATAATGATCTTATCTCCTTCTTTATTCAAGAGTGTTGGAAGTATTTCTGCCATCTCCGTTTAATATGTGCATCTTCCATAAGATCTATGACTTCCTCGTCTTTGATGCGCTTCACCTGGTCCAGATCACGATCTTCCTTTTTCTCACCTTGGCTAACTTGTACACTCTCTTTCACCTCCTTTGACCCCAAGTTCTTCATACAAACGACCAAATGTTGTTTGTCTTATACTGTTATATTTGCCTCCTTCCTAACCTTCTTATACAACTCTCTGTTCGTCCTATTCTCCTCCTCGTCTGCGCTCTCCACTAACTTCAAATACGCCGCTTTCTTGGCAATTACTTTACGTCGGACCTCTTCATTCCACCGTCGGTCCCCTTTGTAACCACTAAAATAACTGTTCGAGACCCCTAACACCTCTCTTGCGGCCTCCTTAATGCAGTTCGCTATCATGTTTCACATACCACTCACGTCCCCACTACTCCTTCAGGCCCCCATAGCCAGCAACTTCTCCCCAAGCTCTTGAGCTTTGTCCTTAGTCACTATGTGCGGGGTATAATAATATTGGAAATCGAAGTGTTTTGATGAATTGTTGGAGTATTAAAAATTATTATAATGGGTAAGTTTTAGTTCGTAGTAATTAACAAAAAGTTAAAAGGTAAGTAGTTATAAGAAAATAACTTTTACTAATAAATAAGAAACAATTTTCCCCTTTTAATGAAAAATAAATAACCAAACACGGGAAATTAAATTATTTTCATGAAAAGTACTTTCTCCGTTTTGAAAAATAACTTCATTACATCAAACACACCAAGATTGCCTTCACTAAACATCAAATATACCAAGATTCCAAAACAACTTCAATTTTCAAACATTTTTTTTTCAACTTTACTTTTTTAATACCACATTTTTTATGTGCAAACACCCACTATTAATTATGCATGTCTGTATATTTTTTGCAACACTTACAAGTAGTCGGGTTTTCCGGTTTTCTCGGGATTTTTTTCGGATTTAATTTTTTTGTTAAATGAATATTATTTTAATTTTACCTTTTTAGTGTTATAAATAATTTTTGATAAATAGTATACATTTAGTAAGAACTGAACAAATTGACAATCACATGATCTATTAAAATATTCTTATAGGAGAATTCTTATGGTAACACATGATAGCTTTTCTTCGTCTAACAATAATTTTTCATTGATGTACGCTTTCAAGCTTAATTCAATTTTAATAATTAAAAAATGGTATTTTATTGATAATTTTTAAAATTAAATAGAACATATCATTTTTTTAGGTTTCATATTGATTTTATTAAATTCGAAAAAATATAAGAGTTTAATAAATATTGACATATAAATATGGAAGAACAAAGAGATTGACGCATTTCAATAATACTTTATAAGAAAGTGGTGATACACATTAGGATCAAGTATTATTTAAGGTAAATAAAATGGATGCACTTATAGTTCTATTAAATATTATATCCTATGAGAGGATCACAAATATTTCAAGATCTCTTTTAAATAAATACTATATAATATTTTAAAAGTATACATAAATATTATATATTTATATGTCGAGTTGGTTTGGATTTCTTTACTCCATACCAAACCATATCTAGTCAGATTTTTTATTTGACTTTTCGATTTGATTTGAACTCCCTATCGTGACATAAGCGTAACTTTATCTTTTTCCTTTTACTATTTCTCCTCATGACCTAATTTCTTAGAAATAATTTTATCAACTACTTAACTGTTAGAATCATGAATACGGATCTACCTATGGATTTTGATCATGATCGGCTTCTTTTTATTTTAGTTAGTTTTTATCTAATTTCTTTCATCTCATGAAAGTCAACGATGCAAGTCCTCGCATTTACTATTAGTTTGGCTTTTTCTTAATAAATATGATTATCATGGAAAAATGCATTGTATTGAGGCAATGAACTTTCATGGAAAGGGGTTGGTATGTCATATCTTACGCAATTGAGAGTCAAAAACAACGTTTGACTATATACTTATTTACGTAAAATGACTAAATTAATCGACATTGGCTTGAGAGTGAAGTTGATTTAACTTGGGGTATGTTTTGGTATATACGAAGGAAAATGTTTTTCATGAAAAATATTTTCATGGAAAATAAGTGGTTTTATCACTTATTTTTCATTGTTTGGTTGGTGAGTGAAAAAACTTTTCCGAAAAATTTTCTATTAGTTGATTAGAGAATAGAAAATATTTTTTAGGACAATAATTTTTTATGCTACTTTCCTCACCCCCATCCCCCAAGTCACTATGTTTCTTGTGCTCCCCCCACCTCGAAATACATAATGTTTTCAGGATTTTATTTTCTTCAAAAATTTAATTATTCTTCTAAAAATTCACACAAACCCAAAGGAACTAATGTGTTGCTTTACGTTTTTATGGAAAAACAACTTTGAAATTTGTGCTCCATAACTAAAAAGGAAATACTCTTTTGTTGGTTGAAAAAAAAAAGTACTCTTTCTACAACATGAAAATAAAGTACTCATTTTATTGACATTAAAGAAAATAATTTTTCTACATCATGACAAGAAAATACTCTTTTTGTTGAAATGAAAGAAAATACTTTTTACTACATTATTTTGTTGAAATAAAAGAAAATATTTTTCTACATGAAAGTACTTTTTTTGTTAAAATAATAAAAAAAAACTTTTTTTATATTACGAAAAGAATATACTCATTTGTTGAAATAAAAAAAAAGTACTTTATCTACAACATGAAAAGAAAGTACTATTAATAATATTTCAATAGTTTCCCACTCCTTTAATTTCTTCTTTTTGTGTCGAATTGTCATCTTTTGATCATTTATCATCCAAAATCATTCCTACACATAAGAAACACATAATGAGTATATTTCACTTCGAAAATCATGTAATTTCCCGCGACACACACAAGAATTAATATACAAATATACTCAAAAATATGCACTTTTCATCATTTATCAGTATGCACCTAGAATAATTTAAGAATTCAAGAATTATCCAGCACTCAACACATTAATTTTTCTGACGTCAACACAAATGATAATTGTATTTTATCTTACTCGTATATCACTTGGTTCATTATGTATTTACACTTAAATTGTACAAGTTGTACCGCCCTAGATTTACTGGAGAAGTTAATACTAGCAATTAAGAGCATTTTAATCCACCCAACTCCCAAATTAAAGCAAGAAAAGGAACAAAAATTAAATAAAAGGAGAATTAGGTAAAGATTAAATAAAATTGTTAATATGGGCATCTAATAATTCTATTTATGGAAACTATTGATCCAGGTGGCAAACAAAAGTTGACTTTGACATTAATAACGGGATTGTGCGTACTATATTGAGACAGTTCTTCACCATTATTATCATCTTCTTCTTCTTCAACATTATCGCCTTTTTTCAATATCCTCCTATTTTCGTTTTAGAATTTGCTGCAGACAAGATCCACCAATTGTGAAAAAGATTATTTTTTTCCAAAGTCAACATTCTTTGGAGAAATATTGT